GGAGCTGGCACCATATGCCGGAGGTGGCGGGGTCAAACCCGGCCAAAAAAAAAAAAAAATTATTACTCTCTCAGGCGGTGCCGTTACTCAGCGGGTGGGTAGGGCACCAGCCACATACACAGAGGCTTTGGGGTTTGAACCCCGCCCGAGCCAGCTAAAACAATGACAACTGCAACAACAACAAAATAGACGGGGCTCGGCGCCTGTGGCTCAAGCGGCTAAGGCGCCAGCCACATACACCTGAGCTGGCGGGTTCGAATCCAGCCGGGGCCGCCAAACAACAATGACGGCTGCATGGCGGGCGCCTGTAGTCCCAGCTACTTGGGAGGTGGAGGAAGGAGAATACCTTGAGCCCAGGAGTTGGAGGTGGCTGTGAGCTGTGATGTTACGGCACTCTACCCAGGGCGATAGCTTCAGGCTCCGTCTCAAAACAAAAAAGTTCTGGTGGGCACCTGTAGTCCCAGCTACCTGGGAGGCTGAGGCAAGACAATCGCTTAAGGCCAACAGTTTGAGGTTGCTGTTGAGTTATGACACCACGGCACTCTACACTCAGGGCAATAGTTTGAGACTGCCTGAAGAATTAAAAAAAAATTATTACTGTGTGAAATATACTTGTTTGTGGTCTCCTGCCAACTAATTCCCCAGAAGGAAGGGATTTTTGTCTATTACTCTCCAATGTTTAAAACAGAATTTGGGAGTAGGACATTTAATAACTTTTTATTGAATTGTAATAGTAGATATTAACTCGACAAAACGATTCTTTGACCCAAGAAACGTTAAGTCTAGCGGTGAGACATAACATAATTAAAATACAATTACAAGTGTTCAGTGGGAACACAAGATCCTCCAAATCTGCCCAGAGGATTTACCTACGGCAAGCGCATGCGAAGGAATACTTAATTTGAGGCTATACTAATCTACATAAGGTTCTGTAACCTACAACGGATTATGCAGTTGTAAGATTGTATCACAACTCGCGATGGTGGCGTCCTCTTTCCTTGCTCCGAAAAAATTACGAGGAAATTTTTTACTTCATTCCTCAAGCGGCTGTGAATGGTATGCTCCAAAAGCTGCGCGAACTACAGTTCGGTCTACGAGCCTGCGTAGTGAATGGCTCGCTGGGGCTGGCGCATGCGCATCTCCTGTGGTGCCGCACGATGGCTGCCAGCCATTTTGTCTCGCGTCCGTACTCTAAGGAGTTGGCGGCGACGGCAGCTGTCGCAGCCGCCAAAGACTAACAGTGACTTCTCGGCGGTGGGAATTTTCCGATCCCCGTTGTGTGAGCTGAACAGCCCCAAGAAAGCGACCACCTAGGAAGCAAAAGGCGGGGTAGGGTGGAGCGCTGGAGCCCCTCCCTCTAACTTCTCCTTAGTTTGACCAGTTCGCTTACCCTCCCCTTCCAGTTTTTGCTCTGTCCCGCTATACGCTTGCCTACTGCGCAGGCGCACAAATCATCGCGGCTCCTCCTTGGCCCTTGGGGCTTGCAAGCTTCTGCGCGCGCTTCTCTTTCTCCACTCTTGATTGGTGAGATTGCTCCGCCATCACGCCTCCCTTGGCTTTCAAGCTTGGGAAGGAAGCTGGGGGCGGGGCCAAGCTGCGCGTGCGCAATACTGTTGCTGTTCCTTTGCTGCTATTGCGTTGCAAAAAAAAAAAAAAAAATCTCGACTAGTAGCTTTGGGTCTTTTCTGTGCTAGAGTCTAAAGGAGAGAGAAAAGATTTCTGCAACTGAAGGGGCAGTCGGGTAGTATTAAATTTAATATATTAACGCCCGCCCTGGCTTACAGGAGTGTAAGGATAGAGGTGGGGAAGGGCCTTAGCTTTGAGAGCCGAAGAATATAAAACCATTAGTTTAGGGTCCAGGCGTTTTGAAAGGTTTTGCAGATCCTGTTTTCTACGTAATTCTTCCGTGATTACAGACTGGTTTAAACACGATCCCTTGAACATTATTGATAAACCTTCGAAACCCGCAGCCCCTCCTTGCAGCGAGTAAGAGCCGCCAGCGTGCCCGGCAGCTGGTCTTCGCGTCAGTACTTCCAGAAGAGCTCAGCGCGTGCACCATCCCCACCCCCTGGCCTCCCTCCCCACCTCGGGCTTTCACGCACTCGCAGTGATTGTTTTGCCCGCTCCCGCCGCCGCCGCCGCCGCCGCCGCCGCGGCCGCCAGAGGAGCAGCAGCGCTTGTGCAAACCGGGAAGATGGCGGCCGGCGGCGGCGGAGGCAGCAGTAAGGCCTCCTCCTCGTCGGCCTCTTCGGCAGGGGCTTTGGAGTCCTCGTTGGATCGAAAATTCCAGTCGGTAACTAACACCATGGAATCCATTCAAGGCCTGTCGTCTTGGTGTATAGAGAACAAGAAACACCACAGCACTATCGTCTACCATTGGATGAAGTGGCTCCGGAGATGTGAGTGTTGGGGGTGACTCGGGAAGGGAAGACTAGGGAAATGGCAGGAAATACGGCATGAAACCCTTGGTTTTTTTCCACGGAGCCACTGCATTCGTTCTGGGTTGTTCACTTGAAGCTTTTACCCAAGTATTCCCAAACCCAGACTCCATTTCTACCTAGGGGTTGCCCAGAATTGCAGGAGGCTAATTTCTTGGATTTTTTAGCCATTGACTTCGTGTGACCTTGGGCCGTTGGGCCGAGATCCATAGAGATTTACCTATTCTTTCATTTCAGAGCCTTGTAAGGTATGTTGCTGATTTTACTGAACCTTCGGGTAAATTGTTGCGTCCGTTTATTTCTTAGAGGTCTTGGCGTGTTAATAATCTGTTTTTTTTTTTTTTTTTCTGATGGTAGACAAGCTACGGCAAGCAGTAGTAAATCCAGCCACTTAGCTGGAATATGTTGGACCATTCTGTATCCTCCACTGACCTAAAACTTGGGATGTGTAATAAGGAGGACCTTATGTGGATGAATTACCTAGAACTTGGGATGTATAGTAGGGAGGGTCTCACCTGGATAAGTGTTAAGAACCAGCTTGAGCTCTGCATAAATAAGAGGTGACCACTAGATTTTGGCTGTACCTGTTGTTTGCTGCAGTACAGTACAGTTTTCTTGAATACTGACCAGAAACGACTGTGATGCTGTAGTCAGTATCATCACTAATATCTTAAAATATAAAACTTCTTTGCCTACTTTTTAATATCCGAAATATCTTTTAACATAACTGAAATTGATTTGATAGGTAATCAATAGGAAATATGCTTTTTGAATCTATAGTACTCTTTTTCCTGGTTTTTGTTTTTTCTTGGTTTTCATTTTGGAGATTTTTCCACTTTTCCTTTTTTACTACAAATAAAAGGTCTATTAGAACATAGATTGTTTACAGAAGAGTTCACAAATCTTACAGGAGGAAGTATGGAGAAGTCACTGTAGCTTCCTGCTGAAAAGAAAGGGTTAACCCTCCATATATATCTGTTTGAATTTGATCTCGCTTCCTGTCTATGGCATGTAATCACGGAGACATCATCCAGTTATTCTTTCTTCTTTCTCTGCTTCTGCCATTGCCCTGTAGTATTTTGATGTGTTTATCTTTTAGGGAGCGAATGGGTACAGCTTGCAAAATTATAGGCCCCACACTTCAAACCATTTGTATTTAAAGTTGTTGGGAGAGGTGTTTTGTGGTTCTTTGAATAATAACTCTAAGGAGTTATTGGAGACAAGACAGGATTACTAGTCTTTACCAATATTAGATCGAATAGTTGCTTTCTTGCCAAGAGGTGAAATTAGAATGTGCAAACATCAAGTGTGCTAACGGTCATTATCAAAGACTCACGTGTTGAGTATCTGCTGTGTGCTCAGCCTTCTCAGTATGTCTTAAAATATATTTTAAGATCTACCGAGAAGTAGATTTCTTCTTTTTTTGAGACAGAATCTCATTTTGTCACCCTCAGTAGAGTGACATGGTGTTGTAATTCACAGCAACCTCCAACTCTTGGGCTCAAGTGATTCTCTTGCCTCAGCCTCCCAAGTACCTGGGACTACAGGCTCCTGCCACAATGCCCAGCTATTTATAGAGATGGGGGTCTTGCTCTTGCTCAGGCAGGTCTCAAACCTGTGAACTCAGGGCATTCCACCTGCCTCAACCTCTCAGAGTGCTGTGATTACAGGTGTGAGCCACTGCACCTAGCTAGGATTTGACGTTAACTTTTTTTTTTTTTTTTTTTGTAGAGGCAGAGTCTCACTTTATCGCCCTCGGTAGAGTGCCCTGGCGTC